GCGTTGGTAGCCATGTTGGAGAAGGTAGTCGGGCTGGCATTTCCTCCTCCGAGGGAGAGAAGAGCCTTTGAAGGCGGCTTCTTTCTGTGAACGGTGGACGTGAAGTTTCTCATCCATTGAGCGTCTGTCGACGTGATGGTTAGCTTATAAGTCGTCGCATTTACTCCGACGAAGGCATAGAAGAGGTGAGTGAAGTATGCAGTTGGGATGGTAGATGGATGGTCGGTATCTGCCCGCCATGAAGGCCAGTACCCACCCTTGATTACTGGAGGAGCAGAGGTCGACCTGCAATGAAACAGGAGAGGACGGTGACCAGAAAGAGTAAAACAAGATTCTGGGCAGCCATGTTTAGCAGTAAGGGAAGCAGGGAGGAGAAGCATGGAGGACTTAAGCTTGCCTTGTCTGATTATATAATGAGCGTGAGGTTGACTTGGGTGATTAGTGCTTGATTAATTGTCTTTATCTTGGTGTAGCTTCGTTTGTAAACATTGTCAGAGTCATTTTTGCTGTGTGCTCAGAATTCACAGTTCAGATCAAATGATCGACCCCATGAAGTTTCTGATAAAATATTATTTGTGCTGAGGGCCGATGAAATTTGATCTAGAAACATGGTGGGTTGTTTTAATTTTGACAAGTTATGATACTATAGGCTGCCATGACTGAAAAAATGATAYTCAATGGTATTGGATATGAATCTGAACTCGCACTAACCATGCTGGGTATTGGGTAATTAAGGTCAAATCTCCATTAATGGCCCTATGTGAAACAACTAAAGAATGCATTTGTAATATCATTTATGCAATTTCTATGAGCAAATTAATAGTTCAATATTGGCTGAAATAATATTACAACTAATTATTAACTTCTAGGGTTTGGTCAACAAAGGTGGCCTTCCACTTATATGGGATTGTTCATAAATGGGGGATGACGATTATGGGCATATTGGTACTGTGGTGTTAATAATTAAAAGCTAAGTGGGAATTATGTATAAATATTATTGGTTAAATGGTTTAGATATACATAGATATAATATATAGAATTATAACTTTGACAACGGTATTGGTCTTGGTGTTAGTATGAGTTGAAATTGAGATGATGAATTGATRCCTTTAGCATCAATTGAGAGAAAGGCTCTTATTAACCTTTTTCATGGTTGGCCAGGAATCACCTAGGCTACGCATTTATTCACTAGTAAAAATATTTTCCACATTGTACATGTGTTTTAAATCCCACCATTTTTTTTTTTTTTTGTCATGTGAAACTTGAGATCTCTCCATAATGGGTGATGTAGCAGCCATGTTTTGACTGGTTTAGAGAGTACATTAGAYTACACCATTTGATGAATCAAATGTCCCTAAAGGCTTAATTTGGAAAGAGTATAAATACAAATTTGTATAGTATAAATACATGTAAAATAATATAAAATACAAGGTTTTTCACTCTACATATTTGTATTGGTACTTCTTTCGAGGCTTAATTTAGAAAGAGCACAAATATAAATATATATAGTATAAATACATACAAAATACAGCACCTTGCACTCTATTATTTATACCAAGGTTTTTAAAACCGACCTGGATAACGAACCGATTAGGGGTCCAATTCTAGGGTCAAATGGTCTGACCGTTCGAACCAAATGGTCGGCCCATTCTGACAAAAATTAAAAAAATTAAAAAACAGTCAGAACTGTTGTACGATTCAAATGATTCAACTATCCGGGTCAATGATTTATTGACTAAATCAACGTTTTTTTGGCAAAAATCCAATTTTGATGAAAAACAAAACCGATCAACTAACTGATTCCTGATTTTTCTGGTCCGACCATACGATCCAGTCTGATATTAAAAACCATGATTTATAGTACTTTATATGTTCAATGGAGAATAACATATGCCTTTTGGATTTTGTAAAGGCATGTCATGTAACATCACCATTTGCTTTTTGCTTTATGCGCTTAGCTTTTTTGAATCTTTACATAAAAACCGACCCAGACTATAGAGAAGGAAAGATGAATAGTTGAATGGTTGATTTCACCCAACCCCATTACAACTTATATGATTTGGTCCACCAAATAAGTGGCCTCTTGCTTAGATAACTCATAAATGGGAGATTGACTGAAGAAAATAGTAATACTAATTAACATGAGAGCTTTCTGTGTGGCTGTAATTCATCAAGACATTAATTAATTAATTGGGACTTGYGCTATGGCTTGATCTTGCTGTGTGGACCCTAAGAAACTGAGATAAATTGATATCTTTTATATAGAAACATAGGCTCCCATATATTTGGTTTACTCTCATAATATATAAGCTATTCTCTCCCTTCTATTCTCATATATAATCATTGTTATTATTTTTTGAAACTCTTTTTCACTACTCTCTTATTTGGTCGTATTTAGAGGTGTAAATTGGGACACGATACGTGTTATGTTGTCCTTCATTGGGATAACTTGGGAGGTCAGACCGGCATGGTCCACGGCCCAAGCCTATGCGGGCCTGTCTCGTGTCGCGGGCGGGGTTGCTTTATGGGCCAAGCCTTGGGACAGGTCAGGCCGTGGACTAGGCCAAAGTTATTTATTTAAAAAATTTGAAAAAAAAACTTAAAATTTTAATTTTATATGAATTTTGATATATACAATTACTTATATATACAATAATTAAATAAACTAATATAATAAAATTGAAAAAATTGTTTATTTTATTAATATATTATTATATAATTATAATTTATATAAAAACATTATATATTATATATATAAATATATAAAATATATATAAATAATATATATGGGTCGTGCCCTAGGCTGCAGGTGGCACGACCCGCTCGGTCGTGCCGTGCCGACCCGGCCCTTGGACCTAAAACCCCAGGCCCAGCATGACCCACATGATCATGCCGGGCCTGACACGGCCCGTGTGCCATCATATCAGGTCATGCTGGGCTAGTCCAAAATCAGACCAGGTCGTGCCAAGCCACGAGCAGCACGACCCAATTTACACCTCTAGTCGCATTTATTGGGCCCCTTCGATGTTTGGAGCTACTTCCATCCAAATTTGTTTTGCATAATTACAAAACTTAAAAATATGAATATCCTCTGGTCCTCCACATCTAGCGCAAAAGCCATCAATATTTAGATCATTCGTAGGAAGTAGGGATGCAAATGGACCATATCGGATATAAATTAATGTATATCCGAATCTAATCTGACACGGTAAAGAACCAATTCGATTTTATCCAAAGATCTGATCGGATTTCATATTTATAAATTCGAACACATAGCTTAAGTTTGAGGAATTAACAAAATCAGATATGTTTAGAAATAAATAACAAACACGGTGAACTGAACAAAAAAAATCACTTTTTGGACTAAATTGCCCTCTCTTGTTTTACTTTTCTTTATCTTCTCATTCTTCAATATTCTATTGCTCTTCTTGTGAACTTCGAACCAAGGAACCTTGCTGAGAAAAGTACTTTAGCAAGCGTTAATAAAAATAGGAGAGAAATCCCAATTATGAGAAACTCGATAAGGAACACATAGCTCAGTATATCTGAAGCTATATAAAGCTACGGATAAAGAAGATCCCGAAATTCTACTTGAAGGTGTCGCCATGGCTGGACTGGTTGGTTGTACAGATTTGAGATAAAAGAGATGGTGTCGTACATGTTTTCTTAGTACTTTCTCCTCCTTGGTGCTTCTTCACTATTTGTATGGTCCACAAGAAAACGAGATCTCCTTGACACCGACGAAAGCTCAATGGATCACAGCAAACTTTGCGGGTTAGAGAGTAATGAATAGAATATTATACAACAGCTCATATTCAACACATGATTAAGCTTCGGTTGAAAGAGATGAAGAATCATTGCAAGGAACAACCATAAAGTCTTGGATCTGACGGACGAGACCCACGCATCCTTGTTGATGAATAGCTTGTTCATTTTCCGGTCTACAGGACTCTGTTTAATGCTTCCACAGGGCCATCATCGGCGTTAATGAAGGCAAGTTTGAAAACTTTGAGAAGAAACTAGAAAGTGAGCAACAGTGCAAAGAGTGATTTGATGAGAGAGGGTGTGGAGACAAGTAATGGATGTAGCTTTTAATCAGGGGCAATTTGGTTATAAGATGGATTTTTTCATCCCCGGTTCCCGCTCACTGTTTTTACAATTTTTTTTTCTAAATAAGCCTGGTTTTGTCAATTCATCAAATTTTATTATTTTTGTAAAAAAAAAAAATATTTTTTCAACTATTTTCATCATATATATACATATTTTTATAAAAATATAATTAATATAACAATTTTATAAAAATGCAATATAAATAATATATTTATAAATAAATAAAATATACGAAAAAGTACAGACGGGCCCAATACAGATTTTTTGATTTCCACTGCACAGCTATAACATTCAAAATGTCAACAACCCACACTCTGCAGGAATCTTTTGTATTATAACTTACTCTGACTTAGCGTCTGTATCACCTTCTTCCCCACTTCCGTCTAACTACATGTAAGTTAAGCATCGACCTTGGGTCTGTTTAGCAATTGTAACATCCTTTTTTCAGCAGTAGGCTTTCCCCTAACCCTCCCCCACACCTATGCATACCTGCATTCGAACTTAAACTCCACTTCATCCTTATTCTTTCCCTCTACTGCAAACCCCCTCCCCCATTTGACTTCTACTCAACATCGACCTACCCCATCTATTTGTCTTCTAGTTCAGTAAAAGATTCCCTACCCC